AGGGGGGGCAACTGTGCTGTTTGTGATTTTGTGCTACCAGTATCAGGATTCAATACAGGAATATGGGCCTCTGCTTCATGTGTTTGCACAGTTTCTGGTGCCCACAACTGACATATGACAAATAAAACATCACAAAACTTATCACAAAGACATGCTGTCATATTTTTGTCACAAAAACTCTTTCTAAACATAACCAACAGTCTCAGCTTGGAGATTCAAATTTACTTTTTAATGGTGAAATTTCAGAGTGAATTATATCACATATGCACAAACCTGTTCTCTTTCATAGTACCCCCTATCTGAAAGGTTTTCATGGCTGCCTCTTAAGTTGGGATCCCACTCATTCCAGTCGTAATCAAAACCTGGATAGTGTCCTTCACCTCCACCATCACTACTCCAACGATCTTGAGGATATTCTTCATTTTTTCCTTGGTAATTTTTAAAATCTTCATTTGTCTCATATCTGTCCATATAAGTATGTTGTTGAAACCCTCTGAAGTTATCTGACCCCTCTTTGAATTCCTCTTGATCATCATAAGATACAGATTCTCTAGGCAAGTAGTTTGTATTACAGGAATTCTTTTCTCTTGTAAAATTCTCATTGTGTCTTGATGATTCTTCAGTTTCTTTGTTGAATCTTGTATTGTCGTCCCGTCTTCGGTTATACTTGTCATATGAGTCTCTGCCTAATCTTTCTGGACGCACCATACTTAAAGGGGCTCTCCAAAAGTTCAGTCTCACTTTATGATTTAAGACCTGTTTTCCATTGAACCTTAAAAATGAAATAAAATCAATGTCTTTAATCATAAAGTGGTCAAAACATAATATCATTCACTCTCAAAATCTTTAATGAACAAAGTGTGGATATCTCCCCACCTTATGAATATATTAGTGATGTCCTAGAGATTTCAAAAATGTGTAATTGGAAATAATTTTCTTCATTTATGCTTTCCAATTAGGACACAAATATTGCCAATGAATCCGAAATATTTTGATTGATATAAAATTAATGATCAATAGAACATGCTATGCTTTGGAGGTGCAACTGAAGTACCCTTTTGGAAGCTCAAATAGAGAATGAAGTTCAATAAGGAGAGCCGCTGGTGTTTTCCTGTTACTAAAATATGACTGGGAAACCGGGTAAAGTAAAACCTGCATAACATCATCTCAAGCTTGATTTACCGCCACTAAAGAAACAGACAAGGGTTGGACCCTTATTCACAAGTTGAAGACATTATGGTCTGAAAGACCAGACTCTGCCTTGCTGCCTCCTTTCTTCCATCACTTAACTCAATTTGAGCACAGTGGAAGAGTAATGTATTGAGTTAAACACAAGGAAAGAAATCCATATCTACAAGCAATCATGTATCATTTTGTTTATCATATAAACATCAAAGGCCTTTACTAACATGAAAAGAGCGCAGTGACAGCTTTTCTCAGCACTGAAAATTACTGTAGTAGTAGTTCGTAGTAGTAGTAGTTCTTTATTTAATGTGGCACCACACTTAGCTACAAGCTACTTTCCAGGAAGCCCACTATAAAATATACCATAAAAATTACAACCTACATCAAGAAATCATGTACATTAAGTAAAGTATTATTACAAAAAGGATATTGCAAATTTAAATATATACTTGTATACATGTGTAGTAAAACAGAGATCAAAACCTAAAAACTTAAAATTTTAGGTGACGGATATCACGAAAAAACGTTCTTGTGTCAGCCTTTATGCATATAGCATCTGGTAGCGCATTCTGGACAAGTCTTAGCAGCAAAATAACAAAATGACTTAAGACCATGCTTGGTATTGCTACCCTTTGGTAAGGAAAGCATGTTAGTGCCTCTTAAATTGTAATCAGTCCTCCTTGGTTTAACTAAGTCAGCAATAGGTCTGGGAGCCTTATATAGAAAGCAGTTATTGACCGTTAGCAACATGTCTTGAATCCTACGACTCTTCAATGTCATATGCAAGCCGATATAATCGAGCAAGTCTTCATATGAAATACCCTTATCTTTATCTTTGTGTTACTGTAAATTTTGTTAATTGATAAGTGCAAGGTGAGCCACAGACTTTGTTTGCCTTATTTTTTTTTCTATTTCAGGCCATGCGATGGCATGCAATTGATAATTTATTTGAAAATTGGTCATATGTATGGTTGCATGAAACTTAGATTTCCATAGAGAGAAAGAGGCAAACCTCAAAACGATTTCAGACATTTTTTAAAGGACAACAAGCATACAGCATACACTCATTGTAAAAGTTAAATACGACTCGAGCTCTGATGGATAAAAAGGCTTCTTCCAAACTATCACCTAACTTGAATATCTTTCAACCTTGTGTGATTCAACTAGTCATTTCTTTCCCAAGCTCTTTCTGGCTAATTAGATATCAATTCTCTGTGATGTGAAAAACATCGATTGCAATGCTAACTTTCGTTAAGAACAATGGCGACTTAGGATTTACTGTTTTCTCGGTCCGCTGGAAAACCTGGGGCAACGATGGCCGCCGCATGTTAAAGACCTTCTGTGCATAAAGACACGCGATTATACATAATTGATCCAACAAATATAAAGTAAACGGTTACTTATAATTTATAAATTTTTAATTCAAATAACGGGATTTTCTCTCAAGAATTAGGATTGAGTTGATTCTTTTGGGAGAAGGGATGAACGTAACATGTGACAAAAAAAAAAAAATTAGTAATCACTTGATGTTTACAAGTTGCTTCCACTCTTGCAAACATGGTAAACTATACTCTGCGAGTACTCTTAGCAAAGTGAATATCTTAATTTTATGATTTCTAAGCAAGATTAATTACCTTTCAATAGCATTCGCAGCAGCTGCTGGACTATCGAATTTTAGGACGACGAACAACCGGCCTTTGTCTTTGGACTGAGCAGTCATTTCCACACAGCATTTTCCAACTCTGTCATGAAAATACTTCCTAGTAAACAAACCAAATTAAAGAAACACTCAATGTTAGGTCATACGAGGGAACTACACACGAACCAATATCCGAGATTACCCCAAATTGGGGTATTGAAGTTATAATGAAGTCGAAGTTCTCACCTGATCTCGGACGTTGTGAAGTTCACGTTTGTGGGAAACCCTCTGATGAAGACGCAGTCTTTTAGCTCTAAGAAGTTATCGCTCGCCAAATGCATTGTTTACAATGTTTCGAGGAAGATTTCAGGAAAATGGCAGAGTGTCGCCACTCTGATTTGTACCAGAACGGTACAACTGATTTGGTACAACGGTACAACGGTACAACGGTACAACGGTACAACGGTACAACGGTACAACGGTACAACGGTACAACGGTACAACGGTACTCTGATTTGGCAGAACGGTAAGTTGAGTCTATTATTTACAGCTGGATGTGAATGAATAACCACGCTACCACTGACAAATGATCACACACGGTATGCACCAATCTCCACAAGTTTTATGCATTGTTTGAGATTTTAAATCTAAAATATATCATAACATCCCTTCACAAGGAAAATGGTGAGAGTGATCTTCTCCCAAACGAAAATGAAACGGAAACAAAAAATTCCAGAAATAAAATCAGCAATATTGCAAATGTTCTAATTTTAAATTAGTGACAATCAATCAAAACATTCGCGTACCCTCTCTAGTCAGGAGTGATTTTGCCACCTTTCAGTCCCTCCCTAGAAAGTACAAATATTCGCCCGGTCCACGTGGCGGTCTTCGCAATGTCTTCCACTAAGGCTCTAAGTCCTCGAGAATCGGCTAAACTGATTTCGTCCAAAAGCAAAGATGTTTCTATATGCGAGGAAGGTGTTGAAGAAGCGTCTAAGATAATCTTCGACTGTCTAAAGTCGAAGAAATATAGCTATAAGACATGGAAGCAACACAAACTCCATCCAAAAGAAATGACCACCGAAACTGTGGATTGGATTGTAGTCTTAGACACCTTAAACTTCTGCTTTTGGAGCGACGACGGCGTCGAACCATGGACTGTTCGATATGAGGGAAAGAACTATACGGGCTACTGGGCTCTTTGCGCCTCCATTCACAGAGCCCTGAAGGTGCGTTAGAATCTTTAAGAATGGCTGCCTGTAAGGATCGAGAATCGTCCGTCAGCGACCATTTTGGTGAATTGCTCATATTTTGCCCAACGATACCCTTTGGTAAACTGTTTTCAAAAATCAAGTTTAAAAGTTCCGACGAGTGTTAATTTTTCAGAAATTTGCGAAAAATTTGAAAACGCCGCATAATGGTGATCGATGTAACAACCATATGTACATTTTCGACACTGATTTTATTTTCTCTTTGCTCTCACGCAACTCTGAATGTATGATTTCCCTTTCGCCTAATATCTTGGGGCATACCAGCCAAAATTTCCAAAATTAAAGTTGATTTCAAAACCTTTTTCTACCTGGCAGGGAATAATTAGATTAACGTTTGTTTACACAACACATATCTTCTGCTCGCTCAGGACACAAATATTCGTGGTATTTCCAAAAGGAGGCGTTCCGATTCAGAGCACCAAATTTTACTCAGGTATTGAATAAGGACATTTTGTTCCGAATACCCAGTTAAAAAGTTAAAAAATTATGTACCAGGTATACTTTTATCGCATTAAATTTTACCTATTTTTTGCCCCATGTACAGCACTTTTTAAGGGTGTTGCTTTAGGGACAAAAAAAAAAAATCACAACATAGCTGTGTACGGAAAAAATTAACATAACACAAACAAATGGGAAGACTTTTTCTCAACACATGTAAAGTTTGGTGTTAACTGAATTCATTTTAAGCCTTCAATGGAGCTTGGGTTTTGCAGTGAATTTTGGACAATTTGCCAGGCGGAAGACCACACTTAAACCGCGTTTTCAAATTTTTCGCAAATTTCTGAAAAATTAACACTCGTCGGAACTTTTAAACTTGATTTTTGAAAACAGTTTACCAAAGGGTATCGTTGGGCAAAATATGAGCAATTCACCAAAATGGTCGCTGACGGACGATTCTTAATCCTAACAGGCAGCCATTCTTAAATCTAGCACACTTTCTTTCAGTAACATTAACACAACAACACCAACTTTTTTCGTTTGTGCTCAAGACAGATCACATTCTCCCTAAGTTTTTCTTTTCACTAATAAGCTTCCTTACCTGATTCATTGATGGTAACTGGTCAAGTCGCCCTTGAAACATTTTGCTCGAACTCTTCTCGCCCAGAACTTGAGTTGTGTTGCGGTAGTCTGGAAAAGCCAGAATTCCGCCGGAATATTTCAACGTCTKTTTTTTTTTTTCTTTAAATTCTAAACGACTCCCGTGCTTTCCCGGAATTGAAATTGTGTAAATGGCAGACTGACCCTCGGATAGTTTTCGGTTAATCCTCGGAGTATATATTTGGAGCTCGCACACTGTTACCTTAGTGGCTCATTTTATTAAAAAACGTGCCTTAAGCACGTCAAAGAACTGTTTTACCCTGATTGGGAATACAGCGACTCATACCAGGGGTATGGCGTCCCATCGGGGCCAAAATTCAACATTGCGATTTGACATTGTACTTTTAGTATTCTTCCTTATTTTACGATTGGACATTCAAGTTTTTATTCCTTATGAAACTTTTTCCAATTCAACACTGTCTTTTTTACAATTTAACTTCCAAGTTTCAAGTATTAAACATTGTACTTCTCATAATTCCACTTTGTAGTTGTGGCAATGCAATACTTTTATACTTATGGTATTGATATATTCAACATGCAGTACTTCGCGCTATTCAACACTCAACTTTCCATCATCCAACCACAACCCAGCTATTAACGAAGGAGTGCAGGCTCACTAAGGTCAACTACCTCACGTAAGCCTCATAACTTCATACGAGGTTATCTTGTAAGATGAAAAATGCACGATATCTCGTATATTTGACCGACTCAAAAAGTGTCATACGTTTCTAACAACAACATGAAGCATTGTTTGGTGTATACTCGTTTCTTACTCATGGACATGATGTAAAATTTAGATACTTTATCACTCAAGTGGCCGGTGTTGGTTTCTACGCTGTAACAACACCACAAGGACTACAGGGAAATCAATCATATGGTCAGAATTGAAGTATGTGAAAGTTACAACTCTGAAAGCCTTGTTCATTTCTTTCCACAATAATAACGAAATGCAGTGTTGCACTGTCTGATTGATATTCTCTCGTTTCGTACCCACGGATGTTTTACTGTCTGTCAATTTGTTGCCTGTTAATAGATTGGGGCCCGTCCAAACACAGTTGCGACACAAATGGATACTCCAACATCAGGTTTCCTAGTAACGACTGGAACTGAATAATTTATTTTTGGGTAAACAGTTCAGTAAATAGCTTATTCAGTTGCAGTCCTTACTTGGAAACCTCATTGGGAGTATTCATTTGAAGTCACAACCATTCAAACACTCAGTGATGATCAAAACCTCTATGAAGGGACGCTGATTGTCAAAGTTCTTGGGGACCTTGAATGTTTGGGTAGAGAGAACTTTAAAAGTTTTTATTGCAATTTGGTGACATTTCACTTTTGAAGGATTGGTGATGTAAGTAAATACATTCTGGTGTTTTTACAAGTGATTAAAAAATCTAGTGACCTGACTTTATTTTTCTGGCAATATGACTTCAGGTGAGATGACTCTTGGGTGACTTGATCATAAACCATTCTAAATACTCCATACCTTACTTTGGCAAAAATATTTTTTATCTTTGCTGGCTTTGGTCATTAGTCATTAATTATTACATTTTGACTCATAAAAGTGGCATTATTGTAAGACAAGGCAGTATGTAGGTGGTCTTTTAGATGTGATACACAGATTTAGATGAAAAAGTAAAAGAATATTTAAGTAGCCTTTAAAACGGTGATCACATGAAATCAGATGAAATAATATTACCTTGCAAGTGTTTCCCACACAAGAAACACTTTTACGTCCTTACTTTGAGGTTGCCTTTTGCAATCAAGACAGCAACAAATTATAACTTCCTTTTCCTAATATACCAACATGTTACCCACTTACCCCCACTAGGGGATCTATACATTGGTCATTAGAATTGTAACCACTTCCCCCCCTGGTTTTCATGTTTGAAGTATTTGATTCTGTTTACGTTAGGATGGAATCCCCTTGACAACACCATCATATTATGCTAACATCACCAAAGAGAAAGTACAACATATCTTCAGATCTGAAACTCCCACTGAAATACCACTGTTGGAGGAAAGAGTAAATAACCTACAAGAAGTTGGCAGAGTCCTGGTAAAAGACTACAAGAACTCGTTTGTCAACATGTTATCCCAATGTGATAACAGTGCAGAGAAGCTGCTTAATAAGATAACAAGTACCTTTAAATGTTTTCAAGATGAATCAGAGTTTGATGGAAAGATAGTTTCTTTTTACAAGCGTGCACAGATTCTGATATCAGATATCTGGGCCTGTTTTGAAGGGGAATCTTTTGGGCATTTCAAAGATATCAGTGTCTTGACCATGTTTGCAGATTACAGAGTGCCACAGTCTCTGCTTCATATGAACATCCTGAAATACACAGATAAATTGATGGAAATGTTAAATGGAGGGAACCATGTTCCTGCAGGGGATCGCATTGAGCTTGAAATCAGAGCAAACTCCATCTGGGCTGTGGAGAGAATTTGCCAGAAAGTAACAGCTATGTCAAAGATGGATTCAGAATTTAGTTCTTTGGCATCAGGGAAAATTGATTCAATTCTAAATTCTGTCATCATAGATTACTACTTGTGGGACTTTGCTAAAGAAGAACAGGGTGGATTAACTGAGCTACCATTCCATAAAACAAGAACAATATTCTACTGATGTTTTCTGCCTGACTCTTACTTACTTGTACTAGTAGTTTTCGTTTTAATCCTTTAGACCTTAACATCAGTATGCATATTCTCCATACTGTTCTCTATACATTTCCTATGGTGCTGACAAGGAGAATTTCTATAACAATCAAGAGCATCATTAACTGGTGATCATTTATTTTATTCTCATGACCTTATTGTTTGATTTAGGGGTGATATTGTAAGGAGAAATTAGATGCTTGTTACTTTTATGGGTCAAAAAAATTCCCAAAAGCAATTAAACAATAAGGGAAAGAGACGCATTAAAAACAGATTTTTAACCCTCTAACTTGCAGTGGTGATTAACATATAAATTCTCCTTACAATATCCATACCTTATCTAAGAAATGGGCAATGAGAATACTCAAACTTGTCAGGTTATCTTGATTTAACACCAACTTCTTGTAACTTATTTACTGGGACATATGTAGCAGCAAGAGGAGAGCATTAACAATCATATCTTGGGATTTAGAGTTAAATCTTGCAGGGTGGTTTGAACAATTGCATTAAGGGAGTGTGTGTAGTTGTAACAGATAGTTTACAGATCAAGGTTTGAAATAATTTCACTGTGATATGTAAACAGACATTTACTGTATTTTATTACTTGTCAGTACTCAAGTCTTTTCCTTAATCAAGGCTGTGCTCAGAAAAAGTGAATGGAGCCCACTGCTCTGAAACTTTGAAATGCAGGGTGCCCAGCATATGCTTTTATATGAAAAAACTGAAATTCTTAAATCGCCTAAGAGCAAAAGTAAGGCTCCAGGGGCCACCTGATGACGCTAGACCGCAGCCCCATTAATGTTAACTTTTTAATAGCTCAGGTTTTCATCTCTGTGTACAAAACCACTGAAAGAAAGCCATTAACTTATAATTATTTGAAATATTTTAGAACTACATTACAACATTTGATTTCCTGTTTATATCTGTTGTTTAATAAAAACTCTTCTTGTTTATAAATATTTATTTTGTAATAAACAAAGTATGTAAGGGGAGATTGAAAAAGTTAAATCGACTCCTTTCTCATTTTTAAGCATAGAGGGAAAAATCATGTATTTAGTTAAGTTAGCACTGAGATCCGATTCTACCATGTAATAATACTAACCTTTATTTTAAGAGTGTGACACCAACTACTTTTGAAAGTTTTCTCCCTAGTGGCCCTCTTAAACACCCACCCATCCCACCCCAGGGGAGGACATTCATCACACAGTAATCTCGTGTGTGGGAAATTAACGTCTCCTACCCCAACCCTGCAGGAGACGGGACCTCCATTTATTCATCCCTATCCGAGAAGACTAGAATATCTAACCATTTCTTGATGTTATAGAAAGGTAGCAAATTCTTCTCAATTATTTTAAGACCCCGAGTGTTGGTCCGGCCGGGGCTCGAACCCTTGACCTCCCACACAACAGTCCAGCGCTCTATCCATTGAGCTAACTGGGAGGTGGTTTACACACCCAGTATATTACTTAGTTCTTATGTTTGTAATTTGTTTTCTATTTCTGTATTTTTGTTTACTTGATTTATTTTTATTTTACAGGGCCTCACAGAATACCACTCCCCAGGGATGTGAGCCCCCCCTTGTATAAAGATTGTCATTATTATTATTATTATTATTATTAAGTGGCATGGAGAGCTTCAGCCATCATGTAATTAAAAAAGCTTCTAGAATAAATCGTAGTGCAGTTATTTGTCACTAATACCTAAAGACCTTTGTAATCTCAAACTGATGAATCAGTGAACCGAAGTAGTTGTACTTAAAAAATCTCGAAACCTGTGCATGTCTTAGACCAAGTGCAATAAACTATTTCTTGATATTTTGTACAATATTGATATTATTTTGCAATAGTATCCATCATCTTGGAGCACTTTAAATAAATTTTTGATACTTTTTCTTATGTGGCATTGCCAAGAAAATTTTCAGAATTATTTCTCCCAATCAAAGTCATTGTAGATTTTAGGTAGGAGGGTTCTTTTTTGTTTAAGGAGAATAATGTAGGTACAATGGCCTCATAGGAATCTAATTTGTATTCTCTAAGAGAGTGGGTGTGGGGCACAAGTACAACACAAGGAGAAGGTAGAAGTATTTCATAAAAGAACACAAAGCAATTCAAATAATTCACTGAAAATTAACTTTGATATGTATCTAACTTCCTCTCACCATTCTAATGCACAATCAAAAAAACATGTTGAGAGAATTAAGATAAGTATTAATAAACTGACAGACTATTAGAATCATACAACTGCTGTCAAAAGAATTGTAATGAATCTGTTTTTGAGTGTTTCTGCTTAGGTCTGAAAATGTCTAGGAAATCCTTGTAAAGATTACATAAGATCTTGCTTATTGCCTCATGCAAAAACAGACACACCAGAAATGTTCATAACATCTGTTTCTGTAGAGCACATTGTAGACCTCCATGCAAACCTGAGATGTGTTGTTGGATTTGACAGGTCATGATTCTCTATTATAATTGGTGGATTCCATCCATTTTGATTGTTCCAGCTTTTACATATCTACTTTGATAATTGCTAATTACAGAATACAATGCAGTCGTGGGTTTGGCTTTCACTTCAAAGCTCACATCCAATCAAAATTTTAACATCAACGCACAAGATTAAATCCATGTCCAGTATCATAAACTGCTGGAGGGAACCATCGCATCTTCATTCGACGACACCCATGTGTGAACCAGTCAAACACACTAAGCATGTTTGTGTTGCATGGCAAGTGGGTGAAAATCTTTGTTATTGGTTTGATAACTCGAGGAAAATTTTGCTCCACATGCTGTGCAATATCTTCCACTGTTGGCTCATGAAACTTAAAACAACACCATTCCCTTGAAACACCATAAATTGGCTTCACTTTCACACTGTTTTTGTCCCAGTAATTTTCAGGTTTTGCTGCAGTGGTGTCGAAATCATCCCATAGCTTTGTGAGCTCACCCAAGGGAAATGTATTTCCCAGCTCTTCGTCAAAAGAAGCAGTTAATTTTCCAGTTTGAATTGCTATGAAGTCATTTTCAATTTTCCAAATGTCGTCTACCCATTTGTCTGAGTGAGCAGTATCCAAAAACAACAGAAGCCTTGCTCCTGTTGATGAATTTTTGTTTCTCCACCACTTCAAGATTGTCTCCAATGAGAGTGTTTTATTTTCTGTAAGAGCCCAGTCACCATCACTGGTCACATGCCCACTGTAATACAGAATGTAAGTGTCATAGTGTAAACCTGGAAGGATGCGCTGCTCAAAAAAGGATGTGATTTTCTTTTCAATATAGTCAGCTGAAATCCCACTTGTTGAGAAGTCTGTTCCAAAGTTGTGAATCATATGACCAGAAAAGAATCTGGACACAATGATTATCAGTTCCATTGCCTTAGTATTGACAGCCTGGAAGGCAGTTTCTTCAAGAAGAACAGCATTACCACTTGGGCTGTACTTGTGTGCAGGTGCAACCACAGCATAACCAATGGCTGTTCCTCCCACAGATTTCCCAAGCTTTGTAAGAATATCATAGACAAGTAGTTCGACAGGAAGAATGATCAACAACATGCTGATAAATACTGGGTTTGTTTCCTGCCATGCTGATGCTATGATCAGAGATGTTGAAGAAAGTGTGTATAGTGTGACCATCTGAGACACCAAACAGAAGTGACGGACACCTTTGGAAGCCATTACTTCCGACATGCTATTGTCACTAAGCTCTCCTCTTGCTTTCACCACATTTGTGCATTCTTCTAGTTTTCCAACAAATCCCCAGCACGTTAAAATAAACATGAAATGAAACACAACCCATGGTATGGACAAAAATACAAATATCGGTAGTCTGTAGACTGGAAGTTCAGTATCTTTAATAAGCTGAGAACTAAATGTGTAAAACAGGGCTTCCAAAACTGTCACAGCAAGAATCTGCAATCTGTGAATGCATCTACTCTGGAAGATAAACTCTTTCCATGTTTCCAAAAGGGACAGTCTAGAGAAATAAATGTCAACCAATGATTCAAACGAAAGGTAGATGATAAAAGCTGATAAGATAAATGGATTGTAGTTGACCTCACTTGCTGGAAAGTAATATGCACCACCTAAAAAGCACAGCAAGGCAGCACTTAGAAGAGAAACGCTCGATTTCATGTGAAAGGCCAGCAAATGCATCATCACTGCAGAAATGATTGTGAGCATGCTACCAAAATACATTGTTCCCGTTGACCCTGAAAGGAATCCAAGGAGAAGCAAGAACTCTTCTGTAGTCATGAATTTCGATTCATATGTTGGAGAGGTGCAAATTCGTTCTGATAAAATCTTGAAGCAATGTACCCAAGTGCTGGTCATTATAAGAATATCTGTCGAGTCCAAGTCATGCAAAGAGTCTATCAAATGGTCGAATGCGATCTCCGTGAAGGACAACACGCTGAAGAGAAAGCCTATCCACAGATGACAGAATCCTCTAGCAAAATCTCGGTAACCGTACAGATAGGCAGCTATTGAAATCAACACAGCAATAGCAACAGCGATAGCGAGAAAGTGAATGCTTCCATCCGTTGTATGGTGCAACCAGCGTTCTCTGATCCCATTTGCAGCCCCAGCGAAGAAAAGAAGAAGGCAAAGGGCGGATGAATACTTGACGAGCTTACTTGAGAGTTTAGGCAGCATGCCCATCAGATGAAATTGAAAGAGTCACACCCGTGTTCAAAGCAAAAGTTTCTTTTAAACAATTCGCTGTTTTAATTTTCTCCTGAAGGAATCTTGTAGAATTATCACCGTTCACCTAGCTACTAGAGTTCGAGCTTGTAATTTCCACTTTAGTTTCTGAGCTTTGTGGGGACTGATTGTCAAACCATTCCCAATTATTAAGGCGGTCTCTTGACACGTAGCAAACCCGCCATTTCCGTTATTTTGACATGACAGCGCACGTATCATTTGGGTTCGACTGCTGAACATTTAGGCTCAAGATCCAAGATGGCGGAAGGTGCGGGGATTGTTGATCAACATAAACTCTCAGATATTGTGAAAGGATTACACGGTAGACTCAGGAAACAGTTGAAAAAAGGTGAAAATGATTTTCATAAAGCTGTATAGTGTTAATGTTGGATAAATTAGAAGCTTTGCTTTCATCTAAACCTTGCAGGGAAAGTTAGTAACTTCATCTATTTCGCCTTTTGTAGATAATATTAGATGCAGCTAGATTCTACTAAATAAGGCAGGAGATATGGCAAGCTTTTTTGAGCTTTTAGAAAGATCCATGCAATAATATTTTTATTCAGTCAATTTAGGAGGCGTACGTAGTTCTACATAAATAGTAACATATACAGAGACTGGTAAACTAGATACACTTTCAAAGTTTTATCTATATGAGGTCATGGGTTCAAATCTGGTACAGGCCTGAATTATTTCAGGCCTTATTTCCACCACTACATAGGTAGGTTTCATTGCTGCAAGGATCACTTTCATACATTTCATGAAACTGCAGTAAACCTATATGATTTTCATATATTAAAATTCATTAATAATAATAACAGTAATAACAATAATAGCAATAACTATAATAATTAATAATCATAACTACAGTTATTATGATAATTAAAGAAATGTACAACAAATGCAATAATGACCAACAGAATCGCTCATATGAAGAACATTACCAATAAAATCCCAGTGACTGTGTCATAGGACCTCAAATCCAGTTAGTATATATATCTTATTAGACGTTTTGTTGTGTAGTATTGTTGAGTATTTTTACGAGTTGTGCCGTATTTTGACGAGCCCGTAGGGCGAGTCAAAATACAAATAACGAGTAAAAATACTCAGCGATACTACACAACAAAACGTCTAATAAGTTATTTATTATCCAACATGCCAAACTGTTATTTCAGTGCCGGCGAATTTCGCGGATATTTATTTACGGGGAGTGCGTGATAGAAGTATGCGAAGCGGAACCGAATTGGCGCGTTGTTGTACTGCTGTTTCTATTTTCTTCATTAAATGATGAAATTTTCTGATAGTCAAGCTGTTTTTTTTTTTCATTCGATTCATCTAATGAACTTTGCCAGTCATTCTGACTCTTCGTCGTCGGAAATATGATTCAAGTGTCCGCCCCTTTTTTTTTTTTTTGTAACTATAATCCAATCCTTCACTTGCGCGATGCGAGAAAACCTGTTTAACCGGTACTACAATAGATGAGTACAAATACAACGTGATATTTGTACTTGTCTGTGGCATTATTTGTACTTGTCTAGGTGTAGTTGGATAATAAGTATAATTATGATTGCCGTGAGCTTAGTTTATGAGCTTCACTGAGCATAATTGTGACATAATATTTCAACAACAGTTTCTCAAGTTTTCATTTTCACAGAAATGATTCTGTTCTTGATATTATTTTACTTTTCCTGCTCTTGACAAAGCTAATGGTGACCACCAAAAAGTATGGGAGGAACACTGCGCAGATAAGGCTAGACTGGAGGAATATGCATCAGCAATGCACTTGTTAGCTGTCAATCACTGGACAAAACAGGCCCCTGAGGGGAGGGTTGAGTGGTGCTACCAGACTACAACTGAATTCTTTAGAGGGGGAGGACTGTGGAAACTAATGGAGAAGCAAAAGAGGAAGCAAAAGTTTCATGAAGATTTGAAAGATTGTTGCTGTTGTTTTGCAACAGGAGATGCAGATATTTGTTCTGTATCAATGTAAGTAAATTCAGGTTGTTTCTTGGGTTGTCTATGCAAGCTTTCTTTAGCTTATTTAAAACAATTGATTTCATACAGAGTTTTTGTTTAAGGGGGTAAGTTTCTAGTGACACTGGTTTGTTTTTCTTTTTGTTCGTTTGTTTTTTTTACAAAATGGAGACTTGTTTTGCTTAAACTGTTGACATTTAAGTTGCAATGGGAAAGCACCTTTATCAGGGTGGCGGGGACGTGCCAAAACTTTCAGGAGAAGTTTTCTCCAGAAGCATTAATTTTCATCTTGGCCAAGGATAAAAATTATAATTTCAGTACCATAGGAAATGTATGAAGATGAGTATAAAAAATATGGATACTGATGTTACTGTGTAAAGGATTGATAACAGACAAATTTGTAAAAACAGACCAATCCTGACTGACTTACACCACTTGAGTCTTACAGTCAATAACATCACGGCAAAACTAACCAATTGGTTTTATACAAACTGGACTTATAACATTCAACTGACAACAACTATTCACTCAAATATGATGATGACTTCTGCTCAGGTTGTTGAAACATCGGTCACCACTACTGACAACAGACATTTTCAAGACTACACTTACCTAGACAATCACACTACACTAACACATACATATGGGATGCAAATGACTTAATTAAGTAGCAACCCAGGAATAAGGTTAAAAAATGGACTGCAATAACAGAATAAAAGAAAAGTTTAAACTCCTCAAAATGTATTCCTTTATTTTTTTTTTTTAAATATGATTTATCCCCAGATATCCTTCAGTCCATGAAAAATTACTTCTCCTTGATGTTGGAAGTTGTTTTAATCCATTTGCTGTTTATGAAGATGTTTTCCCAATAGCTATTGACTTGCAACCGGCAGATTCAGTGAGTGACCTGTTATTTTTGTTGTTGAGAAAAATTTTAAAGTTGCTATTCCATTTGATGATGCTAAAATTGTACAATTTTCCTAATCTACCCTCTAGAAGTGGCTAAAAAAACTAGTGTTCTAAGTATAAGTTTACTCTAGAAGCAAGTAAATTTGATTTGGCACCAAGAAATTTTTTCTGTCCCTCATCAATGACCTATCAATTAACCTTTTTCAATAAAATAGTGTTTTTGCAAAATTTAAGAATTTTAAATTTAAAATGTATTCTTTGTTTTTGGTATCTCACAGATGGTTTACAAATGTGACTTTCTCAATCTGGAGATACAAGATTTGCCTCCTATGAAACAAAACATATGTGCTTGTGGAGTCTGTGATCAAAGGGAAGACAATGACTCAGAACCACAACACTTGGCAAGGGATCTTTTAGAATTAAATGATGTGTACGTAACAAGTGTTGGAGGGGAAAGCAATGAAACTTCACTTCAATCCGACAAACTGAATGTAAACTGTGATAACGAATACTTAAAGAGAGATTTTATTAGAGAGAGAGCTGAAATACTGCATTTAAAAAGCTATTTAAGTGAAGAAAAGCAGTTGAAGACTCTTCCTTCTGAGCTATTCCACGTCATTGTGTTTTCCCTTTTGCTCTCATACTTCCCTTCTGCTGTGCAAAGATGGACTTGTTGTCGCAAAGCACATCAACTGTTACGACCAAATGGGCTTCTTCTCATTATTACACCCGACTCAAGCCATCAAAACAAGAACGCGGCCATGATGAAGTCTTGGAAGGCTGGGATCGAGTCTTTAGGATTTGTCCGATGGAAGTACGAGAAACACACCCATCTTCACTGTATGGCATTTCGTAAGGTGGCACCATGCCATTATTGTAAGCGTGGCAATGGCCATGTAGAAATGATGTACATTCCACAAGATTTTCAAGAGGAAGATGAGGGTTGTTCGGGGGATTCACGAAATGAACAGGACGAGTCCATCGTAATGGAGTGTTTAAGTGAGCTTCCAGACTTATGAAAACAACAACAACAACAACAATAACAACAACAACAAAGACAGCAACAAAAACAAAACAAATTCAAAATTAAAAAACAAAGGGATATTCAATCATCTAGTCAAAGTTTGTAAGGTTTTTTAACTTAAGATCATCTTTGCGCCAACTGTTTTTCATAATTGCTGTATATGTTTTTTTTTAACCCGAAATATTTTTCACGCGCGAATCAACTTCAGATCCTTATTTGTTGTGGATGAAGGGGACGATGCCCCGTCGAGACGTTTCCGTTTTGCTTCGTTTAAAAACAAAGACCTCTCCTATCTCTGGGATGATATGGTGAAATTATACCCATTGTGCTGCAAGATTTTATTTATAGAAACTGAAAATACAAGGGTTTATTCATAGCTAGCGAACATCAGTGAAGAAGAAAGGTTCAAAGAAAGACATGAGTTTTTTTACCGTTTTCCGTTTGCCGAGAATAGAAGAAAAATTGCGCCTATCGAAAGCATTTTTCATCTCCCTTAAATGGAAGATATTTGTTACGTTCAGTGTTCTCAGACATCAAGATTAAATCAGCTTAGTATTTGGGATTAGATTTGTTGAGCAGAACAGACTGGAAAACGCCAGGAAGAGAAGATGGTTGAGTTGAACGCGAATCCGATTTCCTTCATTAAAATCACTTGCGTTGTAAAATGGCTCGTGCTCATGATGTCCATGCCTTTTTTTCCTCCGTTTCGCCATCATAAACTCAGCTCTTGGTAACGATGATATCGGTGAGTGATCCTTCAGGACAGCGGCTGCAAGTATCGCTTTGGCGGGCTCCAGGTCACTTTTGGCGGGAGAATTGATGAAAGCGACGATTGCATCCGCCACCTCCTTGCATGCGTCATACTCCTGTGATTTGATTGGTTCAAACACCACTGAAATGTCATGGGTGTCCACGAGATCCGCGGTCAGGTGACACTTGTTAAACCCACCAAACCGGTCGGACTGATTTTTTAGCTCAATTAAGATGACGTCGACCCGGTTGAGATCTTTTAGTGGTTGGACTTTGTCGTTCACAGCTATATCTCGCACTGCGGTGTCTAGTCGAATGCTAATGGATGTGCCTACAAAGAGGAAAGAAAACCCGCTCACATATGGATTTACTCTCAAATCAAGGTACAATACCCCATTTTTTAACGTATCTGTCCTTGATTTTTTTACTGCCAGCATGGAAATACAGATCTGGCAGTCTTCGTGTTGGACAACACTTTTTTTATTGGAAAACTAAAACTAATGTAACCACGGTGGTAAGTCATCACTAAACGGCATGCGGTAGGTGTCAATGAGAGTATAGGAAAAAAAGCAAACTGCCTGGAGTGTTTAAAATGGAAGTGACCAAATTCCAATTGGCTGTTTTACAATCGAATAGTATAGAAGAAGGTGCGAGTTTCTCGTCTTTTCCACATTTTATAGGCTAAATTGATCTGTGGTCTTGAGGTGGGTAATTGTAACGATTTCTTTTTTTCTTTTTCACCTAATGAAATGTTGTTGACCTAATTTTTAAGAAAGGTAGCTCTTTTGACGTGAACAAGAGTTACCTTCCAATTGTTCTACGCACGTTTTCTGCGATTGATTTTGAAAACTGTGCAAACTTCTAAACCCATCAGATGCTGAACGGAAGCCAACTGCAACCTAGGCTCACGCATTTTCCTGCCTTTATTGCCATGCGTTTGCCTTGACTCGTCATTGTTTGATTATATTACCAACTCTCAAATCGTTTCAATTTAGCTTTTGACCTTAATTCTTACCGCACACGGGGCAGCAACTCCCTTCAGGAATGACATAATTCTGACAGGCCACTGGAGGACATTTACCGAGTTCCTCAACAGTTTTACAACGAGGATTTACATATTCACGGAAAAGTTTACTGTTAAAATCGATGTTATACTTCGGATCCACGTCGTCACACTGTCCAGGGTAATCTACATAGTTGTCGTGTACAGCAGCGTGGCAGGCGCTCTTGAATGTCACACCATCCACACCGCACATCTGGGAAGAAAAGCACGTTCAAATACTTTATTAGAACGTTGAAAGCAGTATGGTATTGTATCAGTTTTGCTTTACTTAGCTCTGTGTTTGGTCGAGATGACCTGCGTCGTTTTTTTAACCAATCAGCAGCAAGACTTCAACCATTCGTGGCTTGGTTAGAAGAATGTTCAGTCTAGTGTCGGAAGTGATCCGGGATTACTTTGATTTACTTTACTTCGCGATGGAAAGCCGTGCCGGACAAAATTGGTCGAGAAATATTTTGCTGGCTAAGAAATAATTTTGTCTTTCAAGAAATATTTTCGATGGTCCTGAAATATTTTTGACGATCGAGAAAACTTTTTCATCCGTCGAGGAATAATTCTGTCCGACGAGAAATATTTGTGATAGTCCAGAAATATTGTAAAGGATCGAGAAAACTTTTTCGTCGGTTAAACAATATTTCTACAAGTTGAAAATTTTTTGTCTATCGAGAATTGTTTTGATCAGTCGAGAATTTTTTTGCCAATCGAGTAATTAGATGCCCGTATGCTGGTCAGCGGGCGTTTTTGCGCAAAACTAAATAAAATATTTCTCGACCACTTTTGACCAGTATGGCTTTCCATAGCAGTCTGCCTGTTTTCATTTTGCTTTCTCATTTGCTTCTTGAGATATTTCTCTCCTTCCGTGGTGATTAGTTTGTTTTTTCTACACCCAGGCGAAATGGGCTTGAACAACAGGCGTGGTCCTTTTCTGTAAAAGGTATGCGTGATATAAAAACATGACTCGTGCAAGTTGTAACGCGCTCAGTTCGTTAAACCAACTCACCTTTACATTATTGACGTAACACTCCAATTTACACTGTCCGTAATAAGCCAAGGATATACCATTGGTGAACATAGAGCACTTGTTCATGTAGATCTTGTTGTTTTCACCACATATAATTTCCTTCGGGGCTGTAATGCAGTTTACTCTGATAGAGACTGAGAAAAGCAGGAAACTGTAGCAAGACTAATAGTACATTCTCTGAATTTCGAAGAAAATTGCCAAATTCTAAAGTTAAAGTCAAAATAATCTGTACATCAGCTTTCACTGTGGTTTTCTATGGGACTGCGTGAGCGGGGCCGAACGAGTGATATAAAAATTGTTATCAAAAAGAAAAGGAATTCTCTGCTGTATTAGAACTTTCCATTACTCTGCTTTTTTTTCCTTTTACAGATTACTATGAACGTTTCAATTTGTTTTCATAACTATTGCATTTCTAATATATTATCCTCTGAAGTTTCTCGCGGGAAATTAGCGCGGGGCTTGCTGAAATTAGTCCATTTGCGCATGATTGATTCCTGCAGCAGGCTTATTGCTCGAATTGGCACATCAGACTCTAGATAAAACAATGCTAAATACAAAGTAACATCTAAATATTGTTTTCATATATTATAATGACAATCACATATTTTTTTTACCACATTGATGTTGTGGGCACTCGATGATGTTTCCATCTCGGTCGGTACTCGTCAGACACGGTCCTCTATTGTCTGCAACACAAATCTGATGCTCTCCACACTTGATGTTGTTGCAAGGGAACTGAAAAAAAAAAAAATAAGAATTGAGCTTTGAGAACATTTTTGCTTCTAACTGTTTGCTGAATGTACGAACTAGACCAAGAAAGCTTCAACCTATCTTGATTAGATTCAAGTTATACGACAAAATTTCCGTCCTCATCTTCTCATTCAAATCTAGTTTGTATTGGACGAATTGACCACATATTTAATTCAAAAATGACTTTTTGTTGACAAGAAAAAAGTCATGTCAAATGGAGAAATGTGGGCTTTTTCACAAAAGAGCAGCTTAGACTAGGTGCATTTTGTTAAAGACTCTAAGACTCAGTAGACTTCGCTTAAGTTTTAGAAAAATGTAGAGATGCTTTTTGTTGTTGAAAACCGAGGCTCAGTTTGGAAACGACTACTGACCCTGCTACGCAACAAAGTACTTACCAAGACCCCGCACTTTCCCCCTTTCACATCCTCCACTGAAAACCCACCACATCTTACGGCGTGGCACATTGAACGGTACGTTTTCCAGTTGGGTCCACAGACAGGTTCTACAGGTTCATCATCGCACTCCATACAAGGATCCTTGCCTCTGACGAGCCGTTCATCCATTCTCGCCTTTTGAGGGTCCTCAGGAATGTATTGCTCACCGAAAAGCATCCCGTAATTTGTATAGTTGTAGCCCGAGGAAAAACACCGAAGACGTGTACACAGCAACTCGCCTAAAATGTGAAACGGTTGAACAATTGAGCAGTACATTCGGTAAATCGTGGCAAGTTGGGGCGTAAGGACAATTTCGCAATGGGCAGCGGCGGGGGGAGGGGTACTGGATTGTTATCGCAATGGCCCATAATTGACATTGGGGGGAAGGGCATGACAGGTTGTTTTAGTTATTATTTTGATCCAGGATCCCTTGCACCCAAGGACTATATATCCTTAGTAACGTCCATGCACGTAGAGGGTATCCAAGGGAACAAGACTTGTGGGGAAAAGGTTGATAACTAGGCGCCTTAGAATAATTTTTTTTCCCTTATTGATCTCACGAGGGGCATAGGAGCTATTTACCCCATACCGGAAGTGGATAAGACGGTCTTTAACCACCCGCATCCACTTCCTGCCACTTTCATTCGACCAAGAGGGGATCTGGATAGCTTTCTCTCTCAACTTTTAATCATGTTCCTAATACCGCTTTACTTACTCTATCCTCAACATTTGTCGCAGTTCAAACGCAAAGAATTTCTTTCGGGCGGCGAGTGAAAATTTCCACAATCAGTTCAGGTTAACAACTCTTAAGTCCCTCTTGTTATTACTTACCGTTACGACATATGCAGTTATTGCAGCCATCAGAATGCCTTTCTCCGTCCGCCAGGTGTCCATTCGTCATAATGCAATGCTTTCTGAGGTGCTTATCACAGTGATTCGGCTTCCTGTTGCAGATCAACTGACCCAGCTTACAATGGCACAGGCGGCATTCAGATCTGAGGTAGATAATTGCGTCTTCTTTTATCCCATGATGGAGAAAAGGATGAATACAAACCATGGGGGGGAGCGCTAAAGGAGAAATGAGACTATGATTAGCACGGAATTGGGGTCTAAAGGGGAACAGTCATTTTTTTTTATTGCTGGGGAGGGGGAGAGGACGATTTTTTGGGGATTCAAATGGTTTTCAGGGGGGAATGGAGGGGGGATGAGTCGTCGCCAACAGAGTATGAAGGGGAACTATACAAACTGGACTGCCAATTAACTACCAACAAGGGAGAAACATAGCAATATTATATAGCCTTCTTGGGGGGTGGGGGAGGTCAGATAAACCTCGCCGTGACACAACCAAAATCCTCCAAACTCCCCCCCTGTAAAAGGCTAAGAGTTGGGCAAACAAAGATCTCGTGTCTTTCACTTGATTGAGAGTGTATTGTCGAGTTTTTGATTTACGTATCAGTTGCTATTACCACAGAAGAGGCAATTTTAAATCTTTGTGTCGTTATGGAGTGCAGTTTCATTCAACTTTTAGGCACAAGTCGCGACTAGAAATGTATCGGCTCAAATTTTGCCTCTCAGGGAGGTCTAAATATGTCTCCTGACCTCTTCCCCCCCAAGACATATTAGAACGTTTACTGATTAATTTAGACAAACCTGGAAGAAGCTTTGAAAAATCGCTTTCGTTAGTAAATTGCAGCAAGTGCCTGGAGTTCCCCCTCCTGAAATTTTGACCGTATTCATCTTCTGCGCGTTTCTTCAGCTTTTGATTCTTTCCACCGGTATATTGGCCATCATTGATTCCCTCGTCTATTTCCACAGGAATCGCTTTCTTTTCGGGTTCGTTGCTCTCATCAATGTAGAAGTCACCTGCACCCAGGAGTCGCCTAGCGGGTTGTGATTTGGATTCATCGTTTCTGGTTTTCTGGTTTTTACGGTCTCTATAAGCATTTGATGGTCTGGATTTTGCCTTTTTGTTGGTTTTTCCATGAGGAGAGGGGTTTTTCTTCTCGTGAGAGAGATGGATTTCTGCTTGAACTTTGAGCTTCTGGTAGTTCTGTGAAATTCTTTTTTCGTCTAAAACTTTTCCTTTTTTACCAGGCGAGGGTTTACCAAGCTGCTGAGTTTCCTTTTTTTCGGCTTTATTAATATTTGTTTGTTTTCTTTTGTTGTTATTTCCGTGAGCTTTCTGCTCTTTTCCTTTCGACTCTGGATCCTTTTTTCTTTCTTCCAGTACCCCTTTCATCTTGTCCTTAGCACCTTTCATACCAACTTTATTTTTTTCAGAATTAAAATCCTCACTCTTGTAGTCCCCAAAGTTTTCCTCTTGATTTTGCTCCTTTTCATTGCCATTGTTTTTCTTTTGTGGTATTTCCTCGCCATCATTCCCCCCTGGTAGGTCTCTGGCTCCAGATGGATCATCCTCGTCTTGGGAGAGCAAGCTTGCCTCGCCCTCCTCCAATTCAACGTCTGTTGACAAATCATTTTCCACGTAAACCTCTTTTCCAGACTGTTCACTCTCGTTCTGTTCATCCGCGAGCTTCTTTTTAATTTGGCCCTCCACGCGCTCATCATGCGGTTTCCTTGAGCGCTCAGCCCCTTTGAGCACGTCCAGCTTTTTAATGTGCATGTGATGGCGACCTCGTTCGCCGGAACGTGATTCCTCGTCATTTCCTTCGTGATAAATACCGTGTTCATCCGTGATGTAACCGAGCTCATCACCTTCATTCTTGTGTTGATCAATACGTTTGCCAATTTTCAATCTCGAATCTTCCAGCGAGTGAACTTCTCGAACATCAATTTGGCTCTCATCGCCCGAACGACCCTCTCCCTCTTCCTCGTCGTCTGCTAAATGACTCTCCGATACCTCAGCAAGATTCTCCTGATCTCTTTTGGTACCGCTGTCAATTTCTTTCCCACTCGCGTCGTGTTCTTTGACTTCCTGGCCTGGTTCCTCAGCATCATGTACAACCGATTTTCCTTTTACATGTGGTTCTTGTAGGTGGTGTTGCTGCGCATACTCAAGAGAGGCAACTGCATTGTTCTTAAGCTTGTCTTCTCTGTTGGGTCGAGCTTTCTGTCGTTGTATGTCTGTCAGGAGGTCTCCGTTGTCGGGATCTGTTTTACCAAAAGATTTGTAAGAATACACATTTTCGTAAGATGCCTTTTTGAGGGGTCTACAAATTAGTGTTGCAAATAATCCAGAATTACATAGCTTTTCTTGTTTATTTCACCTGTAATTTGTCACGAAAGTTCAAACCACCGGCTCTACCAATCAGATGTAGGACTAAAAATAATTGCGACTCGGTCATACACGTTTTTCCGCGCCGGGCAAAATTGACTCAATTTCTCAAAGGCTGTTAGCGTCATTTTCCTTTTCTAATTTTTATGCGATATTTAGACAGGCTGGCCCAGTTCAATTTTTAAGCTGGTTTAAATGAGAAGCTTTATAAACAATAACAAGGCCAGGCTATAACACCAGGAGCTACTTTCCCTTCTCTTTGTGAGAAGTACATGAGTCCTTAAACGTCCCCTAAATCAGTACAGAGAAAGTGCAGAGGACGGGGTTTACCCTTCATCGTCCTTATCCGAGAAGACTGGAATATCAAACTATTTGCGGATGTCATAACAAAGGAAGCCCATTCTCCTTATCTATTTTAAGAACCTAAGTGTTGGTCCGGTTTGGAGCTTGAACCCTCGTTTTTATTTCACGACTCTCGATCGAAATACGCCACGATGTTGCTACAATTTGGCTAATAAATCTGGAGGAAGATCGATGCTATAAAATATCTAATACTAAATAGATAGATCATTATTTTGGAAAACATTCTTACAAGCATTTATTTTGTTTGAATATGGACTTCTAACTGTGTCGCTTTTCGTCAAGAAAAGTTACCTCGCAAAAACACTTTCCTTACATGATTCAAAACTGCAATGATGATAAGCAGCAATACTTTCAGGTTTTGTAGCAGTTTTAAAGTCGAAACCGTTTTCAAAGTGAACCGAAATTAACACCGATTCTTCAGACGATAAAATCTTCCTAATACTTCATTAACATAAGTAAAGCTCTACTTTAGCTTGCTTCAGTTTTTTGCAACTAACCAACGCCAGCGGGTATGTCAAGATATTTGACTGTTTCTACATTTATGTTGAATTAAATTTCGCTGCAGTCATTACAAAGAGGCCTCTACTGTGATATCGCTCGAGCCCTTCGCGGATTGATTATCAGAGAAATCGAGAAAAAAAAGACAGGTAACCGATAGTCAGGAAGCTGTGACTTCAAAACGTAGATAGAACAGAAAGTAGAAAGTAATTAATCAAAGTAAGTAATCAAACTGCTTTTTGAGTACAAAGTTGCTAGACAAGATGGGGAAGAATTGGTTTCTCGTTTGTTGCTCTATTAACTCATGACAATCAATGTGACACAAAACTTACAACAAAACTAAAATTGGAAAGCATAGCGACTTTGAAGACAACGTTATATGTCATGGAAGAGTAGAGAATTTGAAAATAGTTCGCTGCAAAGTGAAAATCTAAACTGATTTAAAGATTATTATTATTAAGCAGTTTGAAAATTCAGTTTAAACCTACCTCGAGTTCTCCGATGTCCTTCGCTTTCGATTTGGCTAGGATCTAAAAGTACGACAATGATGAAAATCGTTGCTAGTCGTCGAGAAAGAAGCATTTTACGAATAACTGATTTAAAATAAACGATCTAAGCCATATTGACAAAAGAAAATAAAGTGAATTTCTGGCGAAACTGAAAATGTCCGTTTTACTTGCGTAAGCGAGACGTCATTCGCAGGCTTCCCGCCAATGACGTCAGCGTTCTTAGATGGGTGGAGTGGGTAAGAAGAAATTGTTAGCTTGTAAGGAATAAATTCCAGCCCGGGGGCCCGTTTCTCGAAAGTCCCTGTAACTTAACGGGCTCGTAGAGCTGTTCTGTTTTCATTCAAGGTGGGGATTTCAAAAGTTTGAAAATGATGCAATAAAACTATTCGCTAAAGAGACAAAACGGACTGTTTTGGGTGCGAGAACCTGCTTTCCAATCCTTTAAATTAATTTATTTGATTTTAAAACATGGCTTTAGCTGGCCCGTTAAGTTACCGGGACTCTCGAGAAATTTATTGTATATTTATATCACCATTTCTTTGAAAAACTTCTTTACATTTGTTAATGCAGCAATCTAAAGAAGAAATAGTACCAACTAGCACTTTCTATCGCGGGTTTTGTGGTGGAATTTCCACCGTGGCGTAATACGTCAATGCAGAGGACTGGTTTGAATATACCTAAAGTCTTGTAAGCCTGCGCGTGCGTGGCTAACGATTAACACTACATAACCAAATAGTCTATTGATGGCTCTTTAATGGTCAACTACGTTTCGAAGTCTGTTTTTGTCACTTCACTTAACTGGCAGGTGGCTGAAGTAGTTCCTAATTTAGTATCAGTCAGTGTTAACTTCTGAAACTAAACCAGGAGTTCATTACAAATTTGATACAGTGAAAATAAAAAGATTTTTAAAGAATAAGCATATATCATCGCGTCTGTAACTCTGACAGAAGTTACATTCAACGCCAAAAGATGACAAATTGACAACATTTGAAAATTTTGCTCATTAAACTTTTATTTCAACCCGTAAAACTAAATTAACTCAACAATCTTTTCTTCAAAAAAAAAAACCTGGACTTGTGGTGCACACCCTTCCGTTCTTAAATATCGACCATTTTCATTTTACCAATTAAAATTAAATTGTAAAAAATTAGGCAAAAAAAGAACCTATTGTTTCTACAAAACTACATATATGTCTGTCAGCAGGTACTTATTTATATCATTACTGGGAAAGCATATGTCTGCCTTGTAAAAAAAACTAAACGTTTTAGCCAATATATATTTTACGGGCTACACAAGGCGATAAGTTTACGATGTGTTCAACTGCTGTCAAGTTCGATAGAAAACATAGCTTATATCTTACATCTTATTTGAGAAGAATTAAAGAGACCCCATTTTTTATATATATGTTGTACTCATTTGTTAATTCAGGGTGTGGCCGATAGAAAACTAAAACCTCATCAAAATTTACAAATATTCGTAATATTCTCGCCCTAAAATGTTGAATATTCTACGCAAGTGATGATAAAACATTTCCAAGAGAGCATCAGCGAAAAAAATCTTCCTTAAATTTCAATTAAAATTTCCACTCGTTACTCTGGAAGCCTTATACGAGGCTCTCACCAGAAAATATAATTTATCATCTATGCAAAGTTTCTTCACCTCCTACTTTGCGCATCCGAGACCATAAAAATATGTTCCAACGCTGTCTTCTTATTGAAGCAAAATTTTGTAAACTTTTTTGATTCCTGCACAATGTCTCTTGAGTCTTCACCAGTAACTAACAATTCGAAAACCAATAAATGTATTCGTGAGTTCAGTGATGGTTAAACTATTACACAACAACAACCTTGTTCTTCTTCTTCGATTTTTTTCTCTTCATCTTTCTTCTCCGACCCGCTATCAGCCGCTTTCTCGGGGTCTTTTTTCTCCTCCGCTTCCCCTTCGCCTTCTTTGGCCGCATCTTTCTCGCCTCCTTCTCCATCCTGGGTGCCACCTTCGTTTGCATTCTCCTCCGCAGGTTTTTCTCCTCCTTCCTCGGTTGGTGCGGCAGATTCTTCCGCAGGCTGCTCACCTTCCGCCGGTGCCTCAGGCGGGGTTTCCTCAGCGTCTGCCATTCTCAAAATTTAAACTAACAATGAGCACTTCTACGAGCTTGAAAACACTCGACTATACTCCTCCACGACATGTAACGTTGTTTATAACCAAACAACCTCGCTATGCTTTCAACTGGCCACGCGCGAAGTGACATAAAGTATTTATAACGCGTTCAGTTAGCTGGTTCCTATGGTAATGCTTGTCAACGTTCGAAAAATGACAACCCGTTTAGGCCGTCGACCAATCAGATCGTGATATTTAGCTTTCTGCATGGGGTTTATATCGTCCCACCTGTTCTTTCTCTCTGCATAAGATTATAAAATGTTGGCGCGTGAACACAAGTTTACAATGTCAAACTGTTGATTAACCTTTTCAAGCCAATTTTTTTTTCTAAACATTACACTTGGCGGGTTTTTTTGTACCAGCTCTTGAGTTCCGCGGGAATAGTAAAGAAAAGTAATCGTCAAATCTGTGATTGGCATTTTTTTTCGAGTTGCGAGACCAAACATTTTGTTGCCTTTTAACACTATCGCGTCACTAACTTTACAAAACAAACCCCCGCCATGTAAACCTGTTGCATTTTCCCGGGAATTCAATCCCCACCCAATTTGCTACACTCCTCGGCGTTTCTTTTCTCTTGAAGCTCTAGAAGTTAACTCTTTGAAAATACTTAACGCACTTTTAAACTTAAACAAATAGAAATCCTGGCTAAAATATACAGCTTTTTATAAGCTCCATATGAAGAAAAACCATTTATCTAACAAAGTAAACTTAGCGATTTTGGGAAACAAACAGTGACTTTCCTAAACTAAAATACTTCTTAAAAATATTCCATTTATTTAAATCTCGTTTAATCGTAATTTTTTCCAATTTAATAGATATTTTTACTTCTGCACTTGATTTTACCAGCTGTTCACGAGTTATGTCAAGTACTTTCGATTGCATTTGTCAAGTGTTTGGTATACAGCTTTATCTTGGCGGGGCATTTTTATTTTGAAATTGTAATATTTCAATCACGAGTTGCCCATATACTTGCTATGACGTAATGCTGTACCAGTACTTACGCCGTCGCATGCACCTGGTGCTTTGGTCTTCACGGCAATTCGCATAGACCTGAGACTAAGCCTCATTTCTGGGCTGTCATTGAGATAAGAGGTTTTTACATTATTATGAACCACTAATTAAGATACAGCCAGCCACTTAAAAACACGATCGAAGGCGCGCTATATAAGGAAGTCTTCCTTAGGAAGACCTAGGCTCATTTGTAACTCACCGTTGACGTGTGCGGGTCAANCGGTCAATATTCTCTCAGTATTGGACCGGGCACTGTCCCGAATGGTCCCGAATGATATCGCACTTATGTCCCTTTGAACTTCAGTCGTATAATGAATCTCTTATTAACCAAGCTTGCTCGGGACCGTACTGGAAGAATATCGGCCCTCGGTCTTTTTTGTACGGACCTCGCTGCGCTCGGTCCATACTATCAGACCTCGGGCCGATATTCTCCTAGTACGGCCCTCGCGCTTGGTTACTAAGATATATATACAGACCGCTAAATTCGAAAGTTTTTTTGAAATGAAATTTTCCAAAGTGTTTGAAACCAGAGATATGACCTAAATATCTTACTAACCTTGTTTTTGGGTCCGTGCTGCAAGCTACACAACCTTGTTTTTTCGTATTAAAGCGGGCATCGGTCTCGGTTAGCAAGAGGTAGGTATGGCACAAAAGAACCAAATCGCCTTGTCACAGGCCACTCAAAAAAATTGACACGATACTCTTTATCAAGAATATTTGAAAAACACTTTTTCTTGGCCATATTCTTAACAGTGCCCTTAGTGCTCGACACGAACTGCACATTCCACGTCTCCACCTCATGACAAATTCAGTTTATGGCTTAGGTACCCCTTTTTTTGACCCCCTTCAACCAAAGCAAGAGCATCATCCTTAAATTTAAAAGCGTTTACTACTGGATACTACAAACCTAGATCGCCTGTCGAAAATTTCCTGCTGTGAAGTATTGGTGAGCAAGTTTATGAAGGACTTCGGTACTAACTCTCTGTAAGAAAAACAATTTCACCTTTGAAATCGGCTTAAAAACGAGGTAACTAGCGAACTCTTGAAATACCTGGTAACATATTTGATAATTAACTCCTTTAAAATTTCAAGGTCTTTTCCTCTTCCTTTTCCCACTGTTAAAGACAAAAATGGTAATAAGAGAAATAAAAATTATTCCAAAAAATAGCCACTGAGCTGGATCTGCAAGTCAAGAGAAAGCTAATCGCCCAACAATTTTCTCTTAAAGACAGTAATAAGCGTAAGAAATATATCTTCATAGTGAAGCATTAGATAGTTGAAAGAAAGGAAATGCCTCTGCTTTTGTCCTTATAACCGACTGAAATATGTTGAAATTGTTATACGAAGAGTTCCAGTTAGTGGGGTAAACGTTTTGGATCATGAAGATGCCATCGACAGTGGTCTCACGTCACAGTGTGGCGCACACTACAATTTTACCGATGGTAATTTCACGTACGTAAAATGATTGCGCATGATGTTACAGATACTGAACTCACGTTAGAACTGTTAAGCGTATTACTGAAGTTAGTGAAGTTACGTGTTACAGATGATAAATTTAGCTTAGAACTCTTGCGCATAATGCTACAGATGATAAAGATACTTTGAAATTCCCCGCGTTTACCATTAATGCAACAGATAAACAACGCTAATCTCTTGACCAGATCCTACCTTGTGACTGATATGTGGAGGACTTTCAAATGCTTGGCCGTGGATGGTCTTGGTACGAGGCTACTACAACACATGTTACAGTTTCAGCGCTGTTTGCTGACTCGCAAAGTTAAAAGAAGATGATTAATTTCAGTATCTGAGCAACAGCTTAACTACCCCTCCCTTAATCCAACATTAACCCTAACTTGTTATCATTCGACTGTTGTAAGATTAGGGGAGGGGTGGGTGCGCAGTTGATCACACACTGACATTGATATTGTATGCAATACGTGCATTTGTAAAACAACTTCTCTATTTTTGTAGCAGCGTTGTATTTTTGTATTCCGATGGCCATTGTGTCGCGTATGTTCACTGTACCGTGGTAATATGACTCGGGCTACAAAAGAGGAAATGATATTAATGAGACTTACAAAATAGACTGTGGGCGGTCCCTCCTTTTCGTCAAAGTTCGTTGCGTGACTAGCAAACATCAAAAGGAAAGAATTGATGTTTGCGTCCCATGCAGAACTCTGGGAGGCATCTTATATACGCACAGAGTTCGGCATGGCCGATTTTAGCATGTGGAAAAGCAGGGAATCCTCTTAGTTTAGCAAGCAGAGGATGAGGGATCATAAATTTAATTTAAAGTTAGAAAACGTACACATTCAAGTGAAGATTTTGATAGACAGTTGAAAAAGGAGAGAAATGTAACTTACCAGGTAGAGAATTTCACCCTCCTGTTGAACACACTCGAGTGGTTATCTTCTGGTGGCAAGTTGGGATAAACGCTGTTAATCCAGTCCAGTTGAGAAAAACTTGGCCAAACACCTAAAAAAGCAATAACATTCTTTCTGAATCGAGGGAAGTATGATGCCAACTGTTCTTTGTGCGCGAGTTTGAAGGGAATAGGAACTTAAGACAAAATCAAGTCTTAAGTAAAATGTTAAGCTGAGAGAATTCTGGGTGTGGCCCGCAAGCTACAAAAATATATTTAGCAAGGGAGAACATATATACTGTATATCGTTTTTTGTGTTGTTTACACGAGTTTCAAATCGATATTCGATATTTAATTGTGATGGGGCTCCGCTAGTGAGCAAAATGGGCAAGGTGAATTGCATCCCAATATTGCATGCTTTCGCCTTTTTTAAAGCGGATCAGTCTATGAACCTTGACTTATTGTCGATCGATAGAAAATAAAAAGGGAAACTTGAAAATGTCCTACCATTGCTATATGTGGTTGGTCAGTCAAAGACTTAAAAATGTTAAAAAAAGAGATTTAACTGAAGCTTTGGGGATAAGGCCCGCGTGGTGTTGACTTTTACTTACCACCTGGTGGCGTTTTCTGAGGTGGATATAGAAACCAACGTTTTCGTCCGAAAATAACTCCATTCCATGCATCAGCAAGCTTATGAAAACTTACTCCAGAACCAGAACCGCCAAGGAAAAAAATACTTGAATCTTCACCATCCTAGAAAATGGATTTGGTTCTAAACAGCTATTTCTACATTTAGGGAGATCTGTCCCTTGGACGCCGTTTACAAGTTCGCCCTACCACAACAAGTTTTCCCCATCACAGCGACTTTGCTCTTCAACAGAAAGTTCGCCCCTGCACAGCAAATTTTCTTCGGCACACAAGCTCACCCCACCAGAGCAAGTTCGACCCCGCCCCCCCCCCTCCCCCCAAAACAAAACTTTTTCGCCCACGAGCCTCATAGTTTATAAAGTTCATATTCTAGTAACCTGTAAAAATAACAGCAGATTTGCTCCTGGAATCCCTATTCCGCGTTTCGCCTCTGGTTTTCTCCTCGCGAAAGGCCCGAAAGTATTTCTGATTACCTTTATGTTGAAATACGGTGGTAGTTTGATACTCTGTGGTAGGTCACTATCGCTGTAAAAACATCTGTCGAAGACGTACCTAAACGAAGATCAAAAATGGGCCTCAATAGTGCTAAATTGAATCAAAATGACGCTATGTTGAACTCGGGGATATACTTAGTAGAATATAATTAGAATATGCAATTATTGCTTTGAAAGAGTCAATGATCCAGTGATTCTAAGAAACAGAATTGTTCCTCGTCCCCACCAAAGTCCTCTCCAATTAAGCCACCATGTTTGACAATGCGTCCGAAATCCCTAATAAGATACATGCTCCCCCCAGAGTCCTGAGGCCGAGAAAACACCACGGCATTTAAATATCGTATCCCGAAATAGCCGCGGTTCGCATGCTTCGCGTTTCCACAATTAAAAGGAAGGAAAATTACGAACCTTTGGTGATCTATTAAAAAATTATTACATTTAAAATAGTAAAGAATTCAATCGTAACCATCACACTCTTTTGAATTATAAACTGATCACTACGTGGAGGGGAGGGGATGGGGAAATTTGGTTATGTCACGATAAAATTTACTTGATCCCCCCAAGTCTCTGGAGTGTTCTTATGACCCCCCCTCACTGACAGTCAATAATCCCCCCTTAACAGTCTTTTTACAGAAGACTTACCCCCCTTCGTCCTCCTGAAAACCATGTGGTTCCCCCCCCAATCCTTCTAACCACCTCCCCCGGCAATAAGTCATAACTTTTCCTTAACTAACATGGGTTCATCGCTATATTTCTTTTTGTGTATAATCTCCAAATATTCTTCAAAGGATGTCTGTGTGTCTCCGATCCATTCCTTCCTCTTCGTGCGATGTCCTCTGATGTTCCACTCAGAGTGGACCACTGACTGTACGACTTCCGCAAACTGGCTTTAGTCCATTTCACTGGATCTGTCCAATCAGCTGCGCCGTTGCTAAAATGCACAATAAAGGGTTTCTTATACCTGTAAACCTGTTCAAATTCTTCAAAAGTCAGAATTGATGCATGACTTCTTTCAATCGTGCACAAATTCGTACTGTATTTTATTTTCTCCTCCACGCACGCTTGCTGCCATCCACTGACTTCCGATGACAGGGGATTGCTTGATTTACTGTTGATTGATGGCTTAATCAGTGGGGGTTGATTGATGACGTAGAGGATGGCAACGCATGCGACAGGTAGCATCAAAGCGGCAGTTACCATAAATGGTGAGCTTTTGACATTGTCATGTTGGCCTTGATTTTGTTTGGCTTGTCTAGTTTTTCCGTTTTCAATACCGTTCGTTTTCGTTGGCTTTGTTTTCTTTGACTTACTTATCTTTGGATCCTAACTAAAAAAAAAATCCCGTTCAGAAAGCTCTGTAAACTCTTTTTCATAAGTCACAGAAATGAGTAAGAAACTGAATGCAAAAGAGAGTTTCTTGAAAATGGTTTTTTTTTTCCTCAAACCATTATGTGAAAGCTGGAAAACTTGTTCATGATAGTTGATAGCGCCTGGGTGCCCCAGATCAACTTTTGCATCATTTTTCAATTTATTACCTTACCGTTTTCTTCTACAAAAAATGTAGACTAAGGAAAGATTGGTCACGTTGGAACGAAACTCGGAGAGTTTGAAATAAATTTCAATATATTTGTTTCACGTTCTATCTCGGACTGAAACTGTAATGCGAGTCAAGGGGGTGGGTTTCTCTAGAATCCGTGTTCCTGTGTCACGTGGGTGGGTATATTACGAAATAATTTGCTACTAATCAACTGAGTTGGCTCCTTATGGTGGCCAATTTCTAAATTCATTATCAGCTCAATTCAATGATATAACCAAATTATCTTTTAATGCGAATCGTCACTTTCCACCCCAGATACTGTTATGATCCCTAATTCATTGCGTTCAAATTTCGATAGGCGCTAACGCAGCCTAATTCTTACACTTTCTAATTTAAATACCTCCT